ATCACCTTAGACGAAATAGGGTGAATACATCTCATTACACTGATTTACTGGTAGTCTCGAAAGCCTACTTGCATACGAATATAATTATAAGTGCTTCCTAACCTAGAGTGCTTAGCACTTTTATTCAATATTTACTGATATTCTCGAAAACCTACTTTAGTTAAGTATATACAATGTGGTCGATTGTAATGAAAAAGCACAAATTGCCTTATCGGCGATTCCGCTATAAATGTGGAATAGAAGAGACCTGGCTTTCCTTTGAGTCCATGTCAACTTAGCAGCAATCTTGGAAGTGTTGGATAGTAATGAGATGGGAGCTGTATTCATTCTATTTCGTTTGAGATGTTAAATGAAATATAGTTGAATTGTTTCACTATACTATGAATAGGCATTGTTTTTCGATTTATTTTTACATAGCATTGCTTCTAAAAAGGTATATTCGTTTGTAAGTAGGGTTTCGAGACTACCAATAGATGATATATATAGGATGTATTCACCATATTTAGTTTAAGGTGATGATGGACTGGTAGTTAAATTATCCCATAATTATATGCGTAGACCTTACATTTGCATTAACTTTCGCATAGCTTTGCTTCCCAAAAGTCGTTCTCATCCAGGCTGGACTGGACTGCAGTTTCGATTTTGTCTAGCTCTCATCAGTATCTCTAGCGGGACTCAAACCATGACAGTACAATATGTTAACTCGACACGTTAGCCACTACGACTCACTGCCACGAGTGCCCTTGGGTCACAGGGCAAATGTGAATTCCAAGGAAGGCCAGGCATTTTCCCATATCACATTTATGATGGAATTGTCGATGAAGCAAAGCTATAAGTGGGATTTCGAGACTACACATCTCGTATATCTGACTTACTGCTAGTCTCAAAACCCTACTTACAAACGAAAAATAAGTAGTGTAGTTGATTGTCATAGCAAATATAACTTTGCTTCACCGACAATCCCACCACAAAAGGTGATATGGAAAAATTCTTGGCCTTTTTTTGTAATTCACATTTACCCCGTGGCCCTAGAGTGATCAGAACTCTTATAACCTCTGAAACCTGCTTTATCTTAATTAAAGTTGCAGAGATTGTAGAGAAACTGTAGATAATTGTTTGTGGAAACTTGCTCTGGGGGGAAGCATGTTTTTAAGATCAAATGATATCGTCAGTCCAATTCTGAGTTCGAGCTGCTTACGAAACTTAGTTTTTTAACCCATTTTCTCTTATTTCAATGAAATTCTCCGTTAGCATGGAATTACTTTTTGAAACAGTGTTCTATAAGGGAAAACAACTTATTCGTTTTGATCTTGTCCTATTTGTGCCAGTGATCCCCGAAACTACTAGGCTTTACGATTAATTAGAATTTTACTTAGCTTTGTTGCCCATAGTTCTTTCTTATTATAAATAAAGTGTAGTTTCGACTACCCATCAAAATCTCATCTGTACTACACGCGAGGTTCTTAACTCGGTCGTGCACGTAGTGGCGAAATTTCGCCAAATTGTGGCCTCACCAGTGATGACCGTGAATCATAAATCAGATGTGACTTTTATGGGTATCCAAATCTTTTCTTATAGACAGTTATAGTTGAATTTTCGTCGGCTATTACAATTGACGAAATTTACTAATTCAATGTAGATCCTTTTTGAGACTTTCAGCAAATCGTGAAATCTAAAAATGTGTGCATACATGCATTCTTAAATAGTAGGCTCAAAAAATCCAGCTCTGATGCTGTCTGTCAAATAGCATGGCGGACGAAAAGCTCAGCAATTTATCACAGAAGGTCTTTTCCTCGCCCATTCTTTTCTCGAAATGCAAGTGAGATCAACACTTTTAAGTCAAGAGACTCTTTAAAAGTCATCGTTTCTTCGTGCAGCCATTTTTCTTTTGATGCCTTTCCGTGCATTTCTAAGGGCACCCCATTTCTCTTTTATTGATGTGGGATTTCAGGAGGGTCTTCCGCCACAAGCCTCATGCTGCGACCTTTCGACAAACCGCATGAATTCCATGTCCTACCGTGACAGTCTCATCTCCTCCTTTGAGGTCCCGGCCACCCATTCAAAAGCATCTGCCTCCTCTTCATCCTCATGCTCCTCCTCCTCCTGCTCCTCTCTGTACGGGTCTTTGCCTTCAGGTCAGTCTGAACACGAGCATTCTCGTTTACACCCTCGCCTCCACTTCATTAGCACATCCTCGGCTGCCTACAAAGTGGCCAATCGAGTGCCTGCCTGCAGTGGACGGACCGACGGAGCATGTGGCCACACCAACAGGGCCGGCAGCATGAGTGCAAACCGTCGTCCAACCGAGACGCAACGCAGGTCGTCGTACCGCCATGCGCATAACCTGCCCGCAATTGGCTGCTCCACTCGGGGCTCTTGGCAGACGGCCGCAAACACTCGGTCCGCTTCGATGCCTGGCGCCTACACGAACGGGCCGCTTCTTCGAAAAAGAACCCGCCAAATGCCTTCCAGTAGAGCTGGTACCACGTCCGGCCGAGCTCTGGCAGGTTCGTCCAAGCAGACTCCGACACAAAAACAGCCAGATGGTGCGACGACAGGCAGAAAGCGATGCCCGAGCGGGACGATGAGTCCCCGGGTCCTTATGGACACCTGCATTGAGGAAGAAACGACAGCGCCGGAGGTGGTGTCGCGAGAGGCACTGGGCGAGGCTGTAACTCGTTCCCCTCGAATGTTACGCTACTCTGACCAAAACCATACAGCATCAATAGCGCCGTCGAGGTTCATTTGTGGGCAGGCCAGAAAAGGCACTGTCACTCCAAATCGACTTGACTGGAGCCCGAAGGAAGTCTCCAAAGTAAGCACCAAATCAGCATCACCCCATTGTTAAATCATCTCCTCTTAACCTTTTCTGGACATTAGCCGTCTCAATGTTCTTCCGTTCCAACATTATCATTTTTATGACCCGTTCTGTAGCTGGTGCTCCCCATTCATTTTTCGCTCAGTATTCTCCCATTCTAATTGAATTCAAGCATACTGGCCGGGAATTCTGTCTCCTTAAATAGCACATGTCTGAAATCAATTTCAGGGCACTAAGCAATCCCTTAGATCGGATTTCTCCAAGAAGTGGAACTCATCCAAGGCTGGTGGGAGGCAAAGTTTTACTATGAAAACTAACATTTGCTATCTGGACATTAAATATTGGATCGAGCCAAATCCATACAATGTAGGAAGAATTCAACTAATCATAAATACACTCCATCTTCATTACCGTTTTCCTGGTTCCTTCTTTTAATCCTTCCTGTAGCATGGCTTGTATGCAAATTTTCAGTATTTACTAACAGTAACTTGATTTCGATGAATCTCCCTGAATCGCATTGTTGTGCCGACTCTCATTTTCTGTGGCTGTGCCTGATGAAGTGATTCCTAGTTCGACATCACCAGAAGGTGATGACTTAGTCCCGTTCTGGATTTGTATGGGTTTTGTGCCACGCTCAAGGTTAGCACAATCCACCAAACATCATGGCTGCATTAAACGGATTCAGAGCTGGATCTCATTCGTGTAAAATATTTAGGCTAACACTAAATCAAAAAGACTAATTGAATCTTCCTTATATGCTTTAGCTCTTTCTCGTGCTCGTAGGCACCTTGTAACAATATTTGGCAAAAGCTTTAGTGGCCTTTATGGGGAGATGCCTTTGTTAAAGCTTTAAGCCTTAGCAATGTTTAAAAAGCCAAATCTTGCATCAGGCTTGACCTCATTCAATGCGTAATCACAATGAACCAGTAGACGCATGGGAATAGAGGATCCGGACCAGGCGAATGTCCATAAATGTCCGAATTTGTCGGCCACAATGCGTCAACGCTGAAGACATATGAGGAGCTTCTTTTTTCTCCTGGCTACTTTCCTTCAGATTACGATCTCTTTGGGTCGCTTTGAGATGCCTCCAACTATTATAATTGCAGAAAATTTGATTATTTAAAAAAGACACAGATCTCTTTGACTAAACGCCTCAAATATAGTGTCAAGATGGCATCATGATGCTGCCTTTTTTGAGCATGATGCACTTAAGTCAAAGAAAGACTTTATATATGAATTATCGGCTTTTCATGTGCAAATTCGCTTGATACTTTCGGTCAAGCTGATGAGCATACCAAGTCGGGACTGTTTGCTACGCTCTATGTATGCATGTTTTGTATGAACTTCTGGCCTTGCTCATTTACTAGCCGTGCCTCCCTAATGAACTACCTTTCGAACTGCACTTTGTGTAACCAAAAATCAATTCTTAACTTCTTCCTATACTAGCTTTACTCAAATCTAACTGGGCTTGATTGAAAATAACATTAGATTAATAAA